CTCAAGTGGTAGAAGACGGCAACGACGACTGCGGCGACGACCTAAAGAGTCTCGGATGTAGTGACTACTACACCGATGTTCCCCTTGCTTCCGACACGGAACGCGATGATGAAGAGGAAACTTTCATCGCGTTACCTGCGGGGCTACCTGCAGATACACATGAAGATGTGTTCTCCAGAATACCAACGCTATGTTATGGACGACGCAACAAGGGTGACATGTTGGAATTATGTGGAGGAAGCGGGGGCACATCGCAATCGGCATTCAGCCGAGGTCTGTCTTCCGGAGGAAACTTAGACAAACAGTCATATGTTGACTTTGGAAACAAGGATGTCCAGGACGCAGCGGTGCATTATTCAGACGCGTGCTTCGTCAACGCTGTCATATTACAACCCAACTGCGGAACGACTGGGTGACCTTCCCATGTCAATCCCCAAGTCAACTATGATACTTGACATGAACACCATAAAGAAGACCTTCCACATACCAAGTGTTGTGGAAAAGCTGCCATACATCAAAACGACCTTCGACGGTTCTACTTACGAGAACAACCAGTGGGTATTTGGGTGGCGCAGATACCGCCATGGACCACAGTGGCCAAATGCAGGCGCACTTGCAAAGTGAACATGGATCAATGCATTACTGGCTCACGTGATTCCCATGGGGTTATTGATACGGAAGCCGACCGATATCATGGCCAATCATCGCTTTCTACTTGCATTTGTTGAACGCAAACTATGCGCTGGCCATCATCAACACGCATCGGTCTGTAATAAAGAACTGTCCATGGCTGCACAATATACTTCGAGGATGCAGTCTCTTTTTGTCGATGCAGTCCAGATCGCACACGATCTATTCCAAGTAAACCGTGGCCCCTTTTTTATGATCACCCTTATTCTTCCACTGCGCTTGCCACCGACGCAAGGGACTTGATTTGGACGATCCAACTATCCCTCGGCAACCCGACGGGTCGATCACGAGACCACCCGCGGGAAAATCATGATGCCCTCGACGCGCAGATAACGCTAACATGCATTCTCCTTTACATGACAGAAACCCTAAACATTGCAGGCGACATGATAAGAAAGACCACCATTGGGAGTGTCCGAGTTGCGAGAAGAACCACTGCCAGAACAAGCCTGGACACTTACGGACACTTGGCAAATCAAGGTTGCCAAACCTTGGAAACTGCCCGACAACCGCGGACAGGCACCAGCGGCTCCTGCCGAAGCAGCACCACCATCCGAGGCGCAAGCTGCACCACCACTCGTGCGGCTACGAGCACCAAGACCAGGCTCTAGAGCCGGCCCCACAGCTGGCGCCAGCAGCCACGACGTTACAGCAGGCAGACATGCTGCTGAACCGGTTGCGGGGCAACCTGCCTCGAGCGGAGCGGGTAGCGCGGATGACCACGTCCGACTGCCGCAGGTCAGAGTCAGATTTGGTCGACAGCAGGGGGGAGATCCACCTCCACCGCCACTTTCGGGCAATCCTGCTGCGCGCCCACGACTTCCAGACTGGTCAAGTTCGTCGCACAAATCAGCCCACGCAACCTACGAAGCTTCGACCCAAGCGGGGTAACGCGCGAGCCGCGGAAGCTACACTTGCATTGATGCGAAAGAACCTAAGACGAGACTCATCTTAACCAAGGCAGGTGTGGATCAGACTCAACCTGATCAAAGGTGTCTGCGACACGTGTCGGGAGTGCAGGGCTTGGGACAAGCCTGGGAGTGCGGTTATGTTATCTGCTGCGCTGCCTGGCAAGTTCAACGAAGAAGTTGAAAGTGACCTCATGTTCTACAGACAAGAGCATAAGATCTGTCAACGCATCGGTCGCTGCATTCGCTATGCCACTGGAATGGAGATAACGGACAAGACAATGACCAATCTCTTGCATGCGCACCATCTGTGCTGGATTCAGTTTGGACCTGCGAAGGTACTCTACTCCGATAGGGAGGGCGCCGTTAACAATGACAGTGCGAAAGCAGTCCGTAAGGCAGGAGGCGCGGCGTTGAGCTGAGGACGCGCGCGCGTGGACAACGCGCTACGACGACCGAAACCAGAAATGGCACACCACGCTATCTACTTCACGTCATGGAAGCTGCACTCAACCGGTTAGACATACCGCTTGTGTTCACACGACTATTGCATGAAGCCCTGTTTGCCGCCAGTGCATTCACCTTTTTACAATGAGGTGTGTCTCCATACAACGCCCTGTTTGGACGGCAACCGGCAATGCTTCCTGACTTGCGTTGTCTGGAATCACGAACAGCCGACGGAAACGTCTGACCATTCTCGAGAACAGGTGACACGCAAGGCGTGCATTGAAGCTGTCACACAGGCCTTTGCAGTAGCCAAGACCACTCGCGCACTACGCACTAAGACAACGATCACCGGTCAGCACTACTACGGTGAAGGAGATTTGGTTGACTGTCATCGCCCCACAACTACGAAGGACGACTGGGGAGGCTGGAATGGCCCGTTGCCGGTCGTAAGAAATGATCCCGACAGGGGTCGAGTCATCATTCGAGTGGGAAGCCGCGATGTTCAAGTACAATACGGCGATGCACGACACTCACTTTAAATCGAAGCTTTGATAGCCAGGAAACTTGGCTCCGACAACACTGCACCACGGACAGCGTTGACATTCGTGGCCAGTCTACCTGCGGGGAGACCTGCCATGACATGTGGCTCTGTCCCGACCAAGAAGGGGACGCTTCAGATCACAGGTGCAAGCCGACTATCTCCTCAGGTACACCTGGCGTTGCAATACTTCATCGGAAACTTCTTCCGCATCGAGAACGTAGTTCCTGTTGGGTTGGCCAAGAGCATCCACGAGCTACCTCCGGTGGCTTGCGCTGACAGCTGCACGTTGGTCCACTATGACAACGATGTAAATCCAGGATTACACTTATGAAGCAGACGGCACCGCTCTCAACAAGCATGCATACACCAATTGCGCTGTGAGGTAGACCGAGGACGAGGACGGCAATGTTACGTTGGACCGAGCTCCGTCCGATACAACATTCCTAACTTACAGACGCTGACGCCATGGCATCCAAGATGGTTGCAGACATGTTCGTCAGCCTCAGAGGCGCATTGGCTTATGCATTAATCATCCAGGTGTGGTTGATGGCACATGTAGTCTCTCTACAGCGTGCCCAAGAACCGACCAAGATACATGTGCGGCGACTGAACGCAATTACCAGGAAGCTGCAGGCTTGCCCTAAGAAGATCGTCTACCAATCGATGATTCCCACGGGCGAAGTTGACTTGCGCAGCGACTCAGGTTACCGACGCCTGAGCGGAGATGCCGATGACGAAGTCAAAGGCCATGGTACTCGCGGGGCAAACCTGCCGCCGCGTGGAGGCGCGCCATCCGGCAAGCTTGTCGTTCACATGATCGATGCGCACTGCAAGTCTCGCCGCTTGCAGGTCCGCTCGAGTTATTTGGCACAGACATTAGCAGCAGCCCACAACTTGGAGGACTGCTATCCCACGATCGTGACTCTGCACGAGCTCCACGCAGGGCCGCTGACTCCCACAAAGTTGAAAGACACATTTGAGTTGAGCGGCCTGAGCACCAAGGTCACTTTGACCATAGATGCTGGGTATGAGTTTAAGTTAGATTTGAAGAAGCCGATTGAGTGTACCCTTTTAGGAGACATCAGTTGGATTTGACAGATGATGGAGCGAGGAATCGCACATAGTAGTCAATGGTGCGACACCCGCGACATGACCGCGGACGGTCACACAAAAGGGAGCATCGACAGAGATATGTGCCTACAGGTCATGGGAGGTTCGCAAATCCTTCAAGCATGATTTAAAGCGTCATACTCCTTATAGGGCTGGCCAGACATCCTGGTCTGCGGCCGCCTGAGAAGTACTCGCATGCACAGTTACGCGCAGGCAAGGCAACTTGCGTGCGGGTCCACCTTCCTTACGGCCCCGCCCTTCTTTTTGCTGCTTTTGTACATTATAGTTGCTGTATATGCTGCATAGAAGCGGCGGACTCACGCTTCGTTTTCCTCCCTCCCGGCTCTAAAGCGAGCTGGGATACAGGCGAGAGGTAACGAGCGTGCGTCCGCGGCCGTTTGTGCTAAAGCGGCTGGCCGCCCACATCTGACTACACCTCAGCGCGAGGTGTACCATTTGCCATCGAGACCAAACCATAGTTTGCTTGAGATGGCTCGTCGCGCCCGCGTCGATCTCCTACTATTGGGACTATCGCTGCTACGGTACAGCAGAATTGGAGCTGGGTTTCGCCTTAAGCGAAGCTGCTGGCTGGGCCTCCCAACCCGCTTCAAAGTGGGGTTTGGGGGGGGAAACATCTCACACGCTGTGACCCCAAGGCACCATGGTGGAAACAACCATTGCGTTGGAGGGGCTGATACTTTAAGCCACCTACAAGCCAGAGGGCTGTAGGGATTACTCCGCGAGAACTATATTGCCACCCGTTCCCCTGACCAACCAGTCGAGACGCATGGAGAGCATCAGGGACGTCGGATTGACGCATTGTTTTCACTGTTGACGATGATTGCCACAAGAATTAGAGGAGGAGGAGGAGGAGGAGGAGAGCAGAGAGAGTGAGGAGGACAAGTGGAAGCACCAGCAGGACCCCGAGCAGCCGAAGCCGCAAGAGCAGGAGGAGATAAAACAACAGGAGCAGGATGAGGCGGAGGGCGAGGAGGAGCAGGGCGGGCAAGAGCGGCAGCCAGCAGCCAGCAGGAGCAAATGAGCAGGAGCAGCAGGTGCAGGAGCCAGGTGCGGCGGGAGCAGACGCGGATCGGCAGCGGGAGTGTGGGGGGAGGGAGTACGGGGGGTTTGGCCTCGACGACTGTCGATCAGGTTGACCCCCTTGGGTGGGTGTGGCTCTGCCTCCTCGTGGCCTCGTGGGGCAGCCAGTGTGACACAGCCGTGACGCCGCTGGCCGCCGCCGCTGGCTGCCTGCCGCCGCCGGCCGGCAGCCGCCGATCGGCACCGCCCCGCCCGCCCGCCAGCTGGAGCTCCAGTCGCGCTGCCTCCAGGAGGACAGCGGCAGGGCGAGACGATGCCGCTGCCTCGCCCTTCCCCCTCCCGGCCATGAAGGAATGGGGACCTCGAGGGGAGCGGGTCCTGGACCCCAGGGTTCTTCCCACCTCCTCCTCCTCCTCCTCCTCCTCCTGTTCCTCCTCCTCCTCCTCCTCCTCCTCCTCCTCCTCCTCCTCCTCCTCCTCCTCCTCAGCAACGGCTCGTCGTCCTGAGTCGTCCGTCGACCATCTCGGGGACCGTGGGGAGCCACAGGGCCGATCGCGAAAGCGTCCGGTGCAGGACCCGCTTCCTCCAGGACCCGCCTCCTTCACGCCACGCACGAGGCAGGGGGGGGAGCGGCAAGCTCGCACCACCTCGACGCGACGGCGACGCCGGCGCGGGCGCTCAAGGTCAAGCACACCCGAGAAGGCCCGCCTCGGGCCCGCCTCGGGCCCGGGGATACACAGAGAGCAGCCCAAGGCTCGAGGTGCCAGGCCTCCAGAAGGGGCCTCCAGAGATGGGTATTCCCTAACGGGTACTTTCGGGAAAATCAGCCACTTTGCATGTCGAATCACAGGGTGGCAAAAACAGAAAGAAGGAAGCTGGAAGCAACCATCGACTTCTAGAATCGTGACGGCCTGCATTCGATTCCTACGCAGCTTGAAACAATTATTTGAATGGCATCCGGCCAGTGCCACCGATCCGAGGCGCTCCAGATGCTGGTGGTTGACACGACGACGACGATGACGACCTCGACGCCGACAGCGGACGACTTACGACTAACGGGAGGAGGGAGGCGGGAGGCGGGAGGAGGAGCACGGAGGAGGGAGGAGGGAGGAGGGAGGAGTAAGGAGGGAGGAGGGAGGAGGGAGGATGGGGAGGAGGCGGAGGAGGCGGAGGAAGAGGAGGAGGACGAGGAGGAGGAGGAGGACGAGGAGGAGGAGGAGGAGGAGGAGCAGCAGCAGCAGGAAGAGCAGGAGGAGGGAGGAGGATGATGATGAGAACGAGGATGAGGATGAGGACGAGGATGAGGACGACGATAATGATTATGATGATGATGATGATGATGATGATGATGATGATGATGATGATGATGATGATGATGATGATGATGATGCTGATGCTGATGCTGATGCTGATGCTGATGCTGATGCTGATGCTGATGCTGATGCTGATGCTGATGCTGATGCTGATGCTGGTGTGCTGGTGCTGGTGCTGGTGCTGGTGCTGGTGCTGGTGCTGGTGCTGGTGCTGGTGCTGGTGCTGGTGCTGGTGCTGATGATGATTGTGGTGGGGGTAGTGTTGATGATGGTGCTGATGATAATGCTGATGATAATGGTGGTGGTGTCAATGGTACGGAGGAGGAGGAGGAGGAGCAAGGCATAATTAGATAATGATGGTGCTGATGTTGATGAGGATGAGGATGCTGATGATGATGATGATGATGATGATGATGATGAATGTGATGGTGATGGTGATGGTGATGGTGATGATGATGCTGATGCTGATGCTGATGCTGATGCTGATGATGATGCTGCTGATGCTGATGCTGATGCTGATGATGATAGTGATGATGATGCTGATGATGATGATGCTGATGCTGATGCTGATGCTGATGCTGATGCTGATGCTGATGCTGATGATGCTGATGCTGATGCTGATGCTGGCTGATGCTGATGATGCTGATGCTGATGATGATGATGGTGGTGGTGGTGATGATGGATGATGATGATGATGATGATGATGATGATGATGATGATGATGATGATGATGATGATGATGATGATGATGATGATGATGATGATGATGATGATGATGATGATGATGATGATGATGCGGGAGCTGGGGTCGGGGCCGCGGCCGGGGCCCGGGACTGGGACCGAAGCTGGAACCTGCGCAGGGGCCGGAGCGGGCCGAAAGCCAGGGGGCCGGGGCCGGGGCCAGGGCCGAGGCCGGGATTGGGGCCGGGGCCGCGGCAGGGACATGGGCCGGGGCCGGGGCCGGGGCCGGGGCCGGGGCTGGGACCGGCCGAGGCCGAAGCCGAGGTCGGAACCAGGGCCGGGGGTGGGGCTGGACTGAGGCCGGGGCCAGGGCTGGGACCAGCCGCGGCTGGAGCCAGGGCAAGGGCCGGATCTGGGGATCGTGGGAGTTCGCGCGCAGCATCTATAGAACGACTTAAGGTTTTAGTGGGGGGTGCCTGGGAGGGGGGAAGGTTATGCTTCTCTCCTTCTCTCTACATGTCTCTGTCTCCGCGGCCCATTCGGGCTCAAGTTTTTCTCTCGGGCCCTTGTGTCCGAGGCACTGCGCGCTCGGGCGGCGGGGGCCGCGCAGGGCGATTGCGGGGCTGCACGCGGCGGCAGGCAGGCGCCATCTTGAGATCCCAAGGTCGATATATAGCGCGGGGCTGCCCTACTGCAGTTCGATCTCGCAGTTGCCGTGGGCCGCACTATAGTTAAACCCCGGATTTTTGACCAGGTCGTACTTTTCTTCGCTCGCGCATCGTTCATGGATCCCCTGAATGAGTGGCATCGCCTGCTTCAGCACGCGCGCAATCCGTAGCAGCGAAGGCTCGAGGGCATCGCGCTTCCATTGAGCGCACATTCCGCGCGGGCATGGCCAACATGGCCAAGGACAAGACGGAGCTGAAGGTGCGGGCTTTCTCCGTCAGCGACGATCAGTTGGCGGCACCGGTGAAACAGCACATCGACTTGATCGAACGCTGCCAACTGCAAGGGTGCATTGATGAGTTCACGAAGAATAACATGCCGTTCCTCCTGCCGCTTGCGCAGCTCACCACGCGCGTCAAATGGACGAGTCTCCAGAACGTCATGCTGGAACAGAAGCCGAACATGCACCAGGAAGATCGCAGGCGTCTCTGCCAAGAGGTGCCCAATGCGTTCAGCCACGTCTGCAACAAATTCTACATCGCCAAGACGGGGACGAAGCTGGAGGCGCGCGCAAAGATGCCGGGGGACGCCATGGGGCTGAGGCTTGGGAAGGCAAGCCCAAGCACAAGGAGAGCCATGGGCAAGCGCGCCGATAGCAGCTCCGACACAGGGGTCTTCACCGCTCCAGCGTCGCCCCCCAGATCTTCCACGGGCGCCGCGTCGCCCCGCGCTTCCGCGGCAGCTGCGTCGCCCAGCGGGGAGCGCAGGTGCGACGTCATCAAGGGCGCGTTTGTCATCGGCCCCCCACCGAGGCCAGGGAAGAAGCAAGGCGTCGCCATCAGTCCGATGACGGCGTTCTCGTCGCAGGACGACGCCATGGAGGGCGAGGTCATTGAACTGCCCGCCACGGCGGCCCCGGAGGAGGATCGGAACGGGGGCGGGCAGGGCGGGCGCGCGCACGCGCGCGCAACACCCGGCGCGGCGACCCCCCGAGACTGCCTGCACGAGTTTGACCAACGCGCGCGGGTGAAATGGGCATTGCCGGATTGCGTTTATAATGTGGGGCCGTGGTGGGGCCCTGATTCTATCTTGGCACCCCCCTGCAGGAATGCCTCCTCCTCCTCCATGCCCCCCCCCCTCCCCCCCCCCGTCCTCGCCCCCCTCCTAGCTGCCTGACCGCCTTGGCGCGCGCTCAGGGATTGCGGGGTCTGCCTCCAGGAGGGGCGGCGGAGCCTTTCCGGAGGCTTGCCAGATCTGCCCAGAGCTTCCATTCCGCAGCGCCGTTGAGGAATAGTTTGTCTTGAAGGTGACAAGAAAACAGGCGAAGAAAAACAAGAGGAATGGAGGAACGACATAAGTAAACAAAGAAAAACAGAGGAATGGAGGAATCATCATCATCATCATCATCATCATCATCATCATCATCGTCACCATCATCAATATCATCATCATAACCACTACCGTCACCATTATAAACATCACAACGTCATATCACATAACACAGTTATCTCGCATGCACACAGTTATCTCGCATGCAATGTACGTGCTATATTAATACAATAAGCATGACAGTTTCACGTGCATGTATGTATGTATATATATAATACAAGGGTTCAGGGGTACTCTTTGCGACTGGGTTGCACGCAGCGTTGTGCGCCCCGCACGAGGGGAGGAGGAGGAGGAGGAGGAGGAGGAGGAGGAGGAGGAGGAAGAAGAAGAGGAGGAAACGCACTCTTCCGTTAGATTTGTCTAAGGGAGGGGGGGGAGGAGGAGGAGGAGGAGGAGGAGGAGGAGGAGGAGGAGGAGGAGGAGGAGGAGGAGGAAGAGGAGGAGGAAGAGGCGGGAGGGGAGGGTGAGGAGGAGAAGGAAGCGGTCGCGCCCGTCGTCACCGCCCCCTTGGCTTAGGGGGGCGCCTTCCCGCGCTGCGCGCGGAAAAGCGGGGGGGCATGTCGACGACGATGCGCCGCGGACGTCGTCGTCGTCGTCGTCGCCGTCGCCGTTGTCGTCGTCGTCGTCGTCGTCGTCGTCGTCGTCGTCGTCGTCGTCGTCGCGTGGTCGTCGTCGTCGTCGTCGTCGTCGTCGTCGTGGTCGTGGTCGTGGTCGTCGTCGTCGTCGTCGTCGTGGTCGTCGTCGTCATCGTTCCTCCGTCGTCGTTCCTCCTCCTCCTCCTCCTCCGTCGTCGTCGTCATCGCCGCGTCGTCGTCGCCGTCATTCCTCCTCCTCCGTCGTCGTCGTCGTCGCCGCCATGCCTCCGCCGTGGAGCCCCCCTTTCGTCGGGTGGCGAAAGCGGCAGCCATGGACGCTGAGCTCGTCGAGAGCAGCGACGAGGAGGAGGAGGAGGAGGGGCCCGAGACGGGCGACGACGTCACGGCGGCGGCCGTGGCGAAGGCGAGAGCCGCCTCTTCGTCGTCGACGTCGCCGTCGCAGTCGTCGTCGACGTCGTCGCCGCCGCCGTCGTCGTCGACGCTGTCGCCGCAGTCGTCGTCGTCGTCGTCGCCGCAGTCTTCGTCGTCGCCGCTATCGCCGTCGTCGTCGTCGTCGTCGTCGCCGTCGTCGTCGCCGTCGTCGTCGCCCTCTCTAGAGGCGCTGATGCCGCACGTGAAGGCCGATGCGTCGTTCTTCCTCTACCCGCAAGGCCAGCGGAAGAGCAAGCCCGACCACGTGGTGTTGATGAAGGAGGGGCGGGGAGGGGAGGGTTAGCGAAAGGACTTGATTGAAGA